CTCTGTCGCCACAAATATGTTCTTTTAGTGGCGACTATAAAGTGTCGCCCTAAATAACCTTCAGTTACGATTTTCCTGGCAATACAAAAGTCGCTGCTAATACCTTTTAGCAGCAATTCCTAGGGGTTTTGTGGCGACTAAAGTCGCCACAATAAGGGTGATTTCTTGTAGTGATACAATGTTGTAGTGAGAGTGTTTTTACATGACCCTTTTTTGTTCCTCCTTCGAGTTACCATGTTTAGGTTGAAGCCTTCTTCCTTATTTTCTCAGCTAGTCTTTTGTTGTAGTACTTAGGGAGGACCTTCTAGCTCTTGTAAAGTTACAAGCTTGTTATATCACTTGCCTGACAGAATTTTTGATATTCGTACTTACCTATAATTATCCTCAGTTACTTACCTCCACACTCATGTGCTCATACGATTGCTTCTAAACTGAAGTTTTGACTGTCTTCCCAGCGAGACTCTCTTTTATTTCCATAACACTCATACATTATCTTTAACTACCCCAACTCCTATCTGAATATTTCTCAAGGTCATGATGTCATATCTGTGAGATTGAATTCCCCATGTTGAGGTTCATTCTATTTATCTTGCACGATTTATTGATTAGTCTGTATCCTTTTGTCTAGCCATAACTAGGCCCTTCCTGAATCAACTACTAACTACTCGTTGGCCCCTTCTCATTCAATATTTCGCGTAATTTTTCTTGGGTCATTTCCTTTGTCTTAACTTATGTCTCGCACTGGCTCCTTATCTATCAATAACATCTCAGATAAGAGCCCTTACTTCCTCTCCTTGCGTGTTTGCATAATGTTTTGGAATTGGACCTGTAGGATTTGGATAAATGCAATCTGATCCCTTTCTCAGTCTTATCGCATTCTTCCTTTATTATTCCATAGTTACTACAACTACTTAATTCCGATTTAATGCTACATCATTCTATATTCCCCCTTTTAGGGAAGTACTGAGAGCTGGAGCTAAGACGATCTACCTATAGATGTTTTTCCTCGTCATCTTTTGCGTCCTTTCACATCATTAATGACCCTTACTCGCCTTGCAGTAATCTTTCTGCACCGAGGATGACGAAATTCCTTGCTCACGAGGGTGACACTTAGAATAACTGGCACATATAGTCCCTTGAGCTTAACTATGCTTGCATTGCTTTCTTTAGGGAAGCGTCTTTCTGAATAGCCTTTAAAGGTTATCCTTCTGTCGTCCATTCTATTATTGTCGGAATGCAATCTCTGAAATTCTCATAATGACGACCATTATCAAATTACTCAATCCCTAATTCATGTTTAGTTTACCTTGTTTACCAGCCCATACTGATTTGTATTACTTTGGGTGTCTAACTTTTCCTTTTGTTCACGAACTTGTTTCTCGAAATGAGGATATAACATTATGGCCTATACTCTTTTGTTGTCTCAAGGCCTGTCACCTCTGTCGCACCTCCTTTTTCCTGCGCCCGCGGGGCGCGTGGGGAGTTTTCTCCAATTAAAGGACANCAAAACATCAATCAAACAATGAAACATTTGAAGTAGAATTAATGCATATTTTTGTGATTTTATTTAAATTAACTTAATTAAATGCGTACTTAAATCCTAGATATACATGAAACATGTATTTTTATTTTTATTATGATAAAATAAACATTTACGGACATAACACAAATATTTAACACCACGCAAATTCAAAAAATTACATAGTAAAAGAAATTTATTTTATTTTTTGATTTATTTTAGGAGCAGTTTTCGTAAGGCAAAAATTACGTGCTCACAACCTCTCGTCTTTTCCTTCCCTTGAAATATAGACTCTGTAATACTGTCGTTTTTTTGTTGATCTACCGTCGTCATCCATGTATCATATCTTACTCATAATGCTTTGTTAACCCTCTTCTTATTTCCCGCTAACATTTATGTCTATCACTTTATTCTGAAAACTTGAACAAGACATTCTTTTGCTTTTAGCACCCCTTTTCTCCATCCAATGGCTCTTCGGGTTGCTTAACGTTCTCGCTCTGGTAGGGACGGGAGCCACACTAAGATAATAGTTATCCCTTCAAGGTTTCCAGTTCCTATCTTTGTAGTACTCACATCTAGCTGTACTATTTTAGAGAACACCATCTGAGTATCTAACAAGGAGATCTATTAATACATTTGCAATATCTTTTGGAAATGTCAACTAACGCAAACAATTCATCCACCATTTTGGGTCACTCTAACCCCAGCCAGATCGTGATATTATGTCCTTATCTTGAACCACATTTGTTAGCTCCCATAGAGCATAACTTAGATCGGTGTAGCCAATTGTGGATACCTCTGTTAATGTTGAAGGTAACTCAAAATGCTTATATCTCTGTTCCTGAATGGCAGATAATGAAAATCTTCATCAGCTGGGTACCTCGTACCCTCTTTCACCTTGCTTTCTTTACTTGTTGAAACTTGTATCTACCTTCCGATTCTCTTATTCCTTTTTACGAGTGGATAGACATTCTTGCCTTAGGGATCCTCATCACGAAACTTACACGTTTTAGTACACACATGATCTGCTAAATTATCCATTATAAGCATGATGCAAAAATCGAGTTGCTGACTCGACTCTGCCACATCTATATCTCTTACCAACCGTCTTTCTAGATGTATGCATCGTCGTATTATGAATAAAATAGAGTTAGGAAATTGAGTTCTTACAATTGAGCTCTATAATACGATCTAGAGTAAGAAGAAAGAGTGATAGTCCTAAATGCCCTATAGCCTCCTGCTTATAAGTGTGGTGCACGACACACCCATAAACAAGACTCTACTAGACACGGCTTGTAGACTCCCTAGGACAGAACTGCTCTGATACCACTTTTGTCATGACCCAAACCGATGGACCGCGATGGGCACCCCTTACCTTACTCAACCGAGTACTAACGTAATGTATCTTTCATATCATTCTATCATAGGTAAATGAACCGGAGTAAAGTATGAGGGAATACAAACTTAAACATATAAAGTACGGGCCTATAAGACAAAAATAGCCACTCGTGTACTGAACATGAGCCGACAAGGCCATACAATCTTTTACGTACATAACATCTGTCTACAAGCCTCTATGAATACATAATTGTCATAAAGGTCGGAACAGAGTCCCGCCATACCAAACAATACACGTCTAAATCATACTAACCAATCAAGCATCTCCGAAGCAAATGGAGCGCACCAATATCTTTCGCTGAGCTGATAACCTACTTGGAGGGCTCTCGACCTGTCTATCGGGACCTGCGGGCATGAAACGCAGTGTCCCCAGACAAAAGGGACGTCAGTACGAATAATGTACCGAGTATGTAAGGCACATAAATAACTACATAACAGATATGAAGGACATATAGGGTAAATGACTCCACCTGTAAGTCTGGATAACTTTATAAATCATGAAATAATTATAATGCCATGCATATGCGTATGAATGTCATGTCGTGCATAAGTACATATTTCATAACATCATCAGCCTATGAGGGCATCCCATCATATCATCTCGGCCACTGTGGGCAAAATATCAACGTATACCAGCTGATCAGGTGGTGGTNATAAACTCTTTTTAACTTTCATATTTTTCTGAAACCCATGAACAGATGTTAAAATATTATGACACATGAAAATTCAAGAACATAGATATCTCTAATACTTCTATGAATAGAGTTATTTATGGAATTTGTGCATTTGCTTGTTTCGTTTGTGTCGTATAAATCATGCCAAAAGAAAGAAGGGATAACTTTAACATACCTGGAGTAGGGAAAAATCCGTATGATATTCTTGAAAAAGGGTTTCACCAGGTAACGTAAGGAGCAATTAGTTAAGAACTACAACATTCTTATACCCCGAGATACGAGCAGGTTTCCAATTCCTAAACTCCCGTAAACCAAAAATGAAACACGGAGGATTAATTCCTGTGTAGTAGGAAAGAGGCACATCCTTGTCATTAATTTTAAAGAGAGTCTGATAGATGTTATAGTACTATACTCTTCCCGTCCAGTCATTCCCCAAACTAAGTCACCTTTTTGGAATTTTGAGTTAAATGGTGGAATTCTTGATTTCCATGTCAGATTCAACCCGTGACTGTCGTCTATTGATGCAGGGCTTTCCTTCTAGTTGTACTTATACCAGCCACCTATTTCGTATTTCGTATTTTGTATCCTGTATTTCATATTCCATATCTCTTATATATTGTTGTTGTTATTGTTGTTATTTTTATTACGCATTTTTTATGGTACTAATATATCGTCTCCTATTGTTTTTTTTTGAGCTGAGGGTCTCCTGGAAACAGCCTCTCTACCCTTCGGAGTAGGGATAAGGTCTGCGTACATATTACCCTCCCCAAACCCCACTTGTGGAATTATACTGGGTCGTTGTTGTTGTTGTTGTATTCAACCCGTGACATAGGTTATAAGAATGACCTGTTTGTTGCTAATTTCTTCTGCCATTACTTGCCACCTTTCAAGTGTAGTATAAGAGTCATCATGCTAGATTAGTGGACTGCCACTTTTTTCAGTTTAATCCTTATCCAAAACATCAATTACTTCATCACTTATTATCAATCAATTAGGTAATATTTTATTACCTAATAATTAACCAATTACCCATATAGTTAAAAATTATTTTCACTTACTTAAAAAATTACATCACTTTTCGTATACTTTATACACTTTACTATCATGGCCATGTGTTACCTTGTATGGTACTAGTCCATACATATCGAGTATTATAGCTCGGATCGTATTTTATCCCAAAATATCAAATTTCGACGAAATTCATTTTCTTCGATTTGCTTACCCTCTCACCTTCACAAATTTGCTTATCCCTTGTTTGAAATAACATAATACTTAAAACCTCAAAAATAATCTCATTCCCGAGCTTATATCAATTTTCATGGTGTACTTTCATGTACGAAAACATGAGGTGTAACATTATGCGGTTATACCAAAGATCTGCGCTCTTCCCGTTCTGATTTGTACTGTCGATGAGTGCACTAACCCACCATGTTCAAGGAGAGTTGATTTGGTGTATGTTATTTGCTGATGATATAGTTCTTATTGATGAGACACGAGACAATGTTGAAGAGAGGTTAGAGGTTTTGAAACAGACACTTGAGTCTAAAGGTTTCAAGTTGAGTAGGAGAAAGACAAAATATTTGGAGTGCAAGTTCAGCGATGACATGAGGGAAGCGGACATGGATGTAAGGCTGGATTCACGAGTCATCCCCAAGAGAGGAAATTTCAAGTATCTCGGGTTAGTTATCCAGGGGAATTGGGAGATTGACGAGGATGTCACACACCATATTTGGGCAGAGTGGATAAAATAGAGGCTGGCATCTGGTGTCTTGTGTGACGAGAAAGTGCGACCGAAACTTAAAGGTAAGTTTTATAGAATGGTGGTTAGACTAGCCATGTTGTATGTGGCAGAGTGTTGGTTGGTCAAGAATTCCTATGTACAAAAGTTGAAAGTAGCAGAAATGAGGATGCTGAAATGGATGTGCTCACACTAGGTTGGATAAGATTATGAATACAGATATTCGTGCGAAGGTGGGCGTGGCTTCCCTGGAAGATAATATGTGAGTAGCGATGCTCAGATGGTTTGGGTACGTGCATAGCAGAAGCCTAGATTCGCCGATGAAGAGGTGGGAAAGGTTGGCCTTGGCGGGTGTGGGGAGAGGAAAGGGTAGTCTAAAATGTATTTGGGAGAGGAGATCAGGCAAGACATGGCGGGACTCTAGCTGAGGACATAGCCCTTGATAGGAAGGTGTGCAGGTCGAGCATTAGAGTTGCAAGTTAGAATATAGTTGAGCATTTTCCTACTCCGTATGGGGTATAAGGCTAGTATGTTAATATCCTTTTTTCGTGTGCTAGTGATACGTGTTGTGTTCTTATTATTTTTCAGCTCCGGTTTCCTAGTACCCTGTCGTTTTTACTGATATTGCTTTTTTCATTTGTTTTTCTGATTCTATCTTTATGGCTTCCGTTGTCGTCACTGTTCTGTTGTCTCTTTTCATCTTCTTGTCCTGAGGGTAGCCTTTCTATCCCACAAGGTAGAGGGAAGGTCTGCGTACACACTGCCCTCCCCAGACTCCACTTGTGTGATTATACTGGGTTATTATTGTTGCATGAAATTCACTAGGTTTGATTGTTGTTGTTGATTTTTGCTTGAAATTCATTGTTTTTTTAAAAGTATTTTTCCTTTATGATTATTTGCTCATTATGGTTTAGTTATGTGTATATGCACGACTTTTCTCATCATAATTCTAATCATAAGTCTTATATTTTTATATTTTCCCATAATTGTTTTGTTCCTTGTGGTCCAGCCCTTTCACGATCACGCGCATAGCGGGAGCTTAGTGCACCGAGCTGCCCTTTTTCTCTTTTGTTCCTTACTTATCTAATTGTATTATCCATTATTTATTATTATTAAACTTTCATATGAATTATTATTAAATTACCAGTTTCATATAATACAATAAATATAATTTTGTATTACTCGTGATTTGAAGTTGAGAATTCCTCGTAATTATTTTGATATTTAACTTTATCAATAATTTTTTCAAGTATTATTTTCTTACGTAATTTTATCAAATAAATTGAAAGTGTGGATAGAATCACATTNATTGGTAATTTTTTTGTTCATTTTGTTATTTTAAGATATTATAAAACTCCAATTGTGTTGGAGCTTTATTCTAAAATCTACACTTATCATCTTATGATTATGCCACTTGGCTTAATATGGTGATTTTGTCCCTCCTTTTATTATATATAGATATTTGTTACCTTAGAATATGATTGATTCTTTCTGTACAAGAAACAATTAAACTTCTTTATTCTTTTTTCTAATTAAGATAAATTAGCTCATGGATAAAGGAATAATATTGACAATTTTGTTCCCATTTGAGTTGGTATCAGAGCGGTTCTTTAAATTTTCCTCTTTATACATTAATATATATATATATATATATATATATATAGAAACTTCTTTTAGATTGCTTCAGGCAAATAGTAAAGATTGCTTACTATTTGAATATCAAAAGTAGTAAAGATTGGTTTAGAAGAACATCAGAAAAATTAAGATTGCTTCAGGCAAATAGGTGATTCGTTGTACTAATGACTTCTTTTACCGTAGATCTTCACTTCCTAAAATCTCGCTCATGTTTGTAGGCTTTATTGGACTATATACGTTCTTTCGTCTTAGGATGACGAATTGAATCAACTACTGCTATTTAGAATAAGAGGAAAAAAATTTGAACCGTTTTGGACCTATAAGTTCCTCATTAAGTTGTTATTTGTTGAAATAGCAGGTTGTAGCTTAAGGGTATCTTGGCAGTGAAGAACATGAAAATGAGGGTATAATGTATAAACAATCAAGAAACGGTAGGGAAGCACCTTCATAATTCACGTTAGAAGAAGCTGATGCGACAAAAACTTTATGTTCACTGCATTTTGCCAGAATTTTCTACAGTGGAGTAATTGAGAAAACATACTAATTTATGGATAAGGATCAATGAAGAAGAGCAGAAATCTGTTATATGTCTAAGCCTTTTGAGTTACAAGATCTTTGAGTTAATTGAAAATGTAATGACCCGAACGGTCGTTTTGAGCATTTGCACTTTGGTCGGTTGTTTGAGGGTAGAGTAGCTCCGTATAATGTATAACGACTTGTGTGCATTGGCGATTTTTGTTTTTCAGGTAATTCGGAATTTATTTGGAATAATGAATTTCATGATTGAAGCTTTACATTGGAAGAGTTGACCAAATTTGACTTTTGTGAATTTGACCTCGAAAAGGAGTTTTGATGGTTCTGTTAGGTCCGCATGGTGATTTTAGACTTGAGCGTATGCCGGGATTTGCATTTGGATGTCTTTAGAAGACTTCGACATAAATTAGCGAAAATTAGAAATTTGAAGGTTTGGAATGTTCATAACTTTGACCGGGAGTTGACTGTGATGATATCGGGTTCGAATTGTGGTTCTGGGGATTGAAATAGCTTCGTTATGTCATTTGTGACTTGTATGCAAAATTTGAGTTCATTCCCAGTTGATTTGATATGTTTCGGCGCTAGTTTATGGATGTCGAAAGTTCAAAAGTTCATTAAGTTTGATTTTATGTTCGATTCATCATTTCGATGTTGTTATACGTGATTTGAGGCCTCGAGTAGGTCCGAGTTATGTTATGGGACTTGTTGGTATGTTCGGACGAAGTCCAGAGAGGCTCGGATGAGTTTCAGATAGGTTTGAGTTGTGTTGCGCTCATTTTTCTTATGTCTCGACGTCGTTTTTTCAAGCATAAATGGTACCACATTAAGCAAATAAACTCCAATTTCTGTTTTTATTGAATTGTTAGATCCGTATCATAATTATGGAGGCATAGCAAAAAGAATCGTTGAATATATATGGACATCGTTTGAGGAGTTTATGGTCATTTTACTAAGAACTGAGTTGCCAGATTTTTCAGATTAATTACGAAATTGCCACTGACTTCGTATTTAAAAATCGACACTATTTTTAAATATTAAAACCAACATATCTCCTTCATTATAAGGTCAAATGGAATGATTCAAAAGCCTAACTTGACTGAAATTTTACAAGGAATCGTTTGGAGGTATCAAAAGCGAGTTTCAAAATCGTTTGGCATGAGAAACGAGGAAGAACAACTGGCAAAAATATATAATATCAAGGGTTTGTTCATATGGTCATATTTTGAGTTGGGAACTCAGATTTGGGAATTTTTGGATGTGATTTCACCATATAGATTAGGGTAAGTGTTCTCTACTTGGTTTTAGTTGTATTTCATGAATCCATCTTCATTTTTGGCATTTGATTGATGATTTCAAAGTGAAATTTTGGGGGTCTTGTCTAATATTTTATAAAGTGAATTTTTGAGTTTTGAACATCGATTCGGAGTCGGATTTGAGTGAAACTAGTATGGTTGGACTCGTAATCGAATTGGTTATCAAATTTTATGAGTTTTGTCGGGTTTCGAGGTGTGGACCCGAGTTTGACTTTTGGTTGATTTTGGGCTTTGGATTAATGATTCCACCTTTATTGATTGGAATTGTTTCCTTAGGCTATGTTTAATGTATTTGAGTTGCTTTTGGCTAGTTTCGAGCCGTTTGGAGGTTGGTACGTGGGGATGGCATTTTTGAAGTATCGGTTGGCTTGCTCGGTATTGGATTTGGCTTTTTCGAGGTAAGTACACTTCTTCAGCTTTGTGATAAAGTAGCGATAACTACTGTTGTCCTCATCATCACTATCAACTATGATCATATTTTAAACTACATACCTTCCTTTACGAGGGTCCTATTATCTCCTAAACTATTCTAAAGTAGAATTATTTCCACCTTAAAGACTTATGTGGCAGTGTGCGTATTTCACTTGCTAAAAGAGAGTGAGGAGAGATCTTTTTAATTAAATATATACTTTCTTACTTTCTTGTCCTTTTCTATAGTATTCCTTTATTCTCTTCTTTACATCAGGTTCCTTCGAATACAACATATGCCGATGACATTTAGGCAAAACATTTTGTCATCGTAAAAATCTTTTCTACCGGAAAAAATGAAGTCCTCGAAATTCCGACGACCGCTTATATTCTTTTTTTTTGTTTCTTTCTTTCTTTATTTCTTTTTCTCTTCCTCCCACATATAAATCACATTTCAAAGAAAATTTATACATATATAAAGCAAAACACACTCAAATCTGGACCAAAAAATCTGTCATAGCAAAATATTTTCGCGTCAGAAAAATTAGTGTCCTTGAAATTCCGATGACCACCATTTTTCAGTTTATATTATTTCTTTCTTTTTCTCTTTCTCCCACACATAAATCATACTATCAAGAAGAATTTATACATATATAAAGTAAAATACACTCAGATCTTGACAAAAAAAATTTCTCATCGGAAAAATTGGAGCCCTTGAAATTCTGTGGACCACCATTTTTACACCGCCCATAATCACTAGTGATTTCTGCCATCTAAAAATCCTCTACCACAGTCGCCATTTAAACGCCTCAAGCCAATAATACTAGCAAATTGGAGTTTTATTAGAGTTTTCAGGACTTATTTCGTACATACCAAATGTTTCATCCATGAAAGAAGAAAAAAGACTATGAATTATATGTAAATCGTTTAATCTAAGAAGGGAAAAGGAGAAAAGAAAAGAAAAGAAAGAAAAAAGGAAAAGAAGGAATGTAATGACTCGGTCGGACTTTTTTAAGAATTAACGTCCCGATCTCTTATTAACTGCTTGTCCCGTATTTATTTCTGTTATTGTGAATTGCCGGGATGATTTGTTTGAAGTTTCGGAGTGTTTTGGGACATTTAG